GAATATCCTCGAAGAAGGAATCGTGAAAGAAAAGTCCCTTCTCAGCAATGGGGAGAAGTGAATCCTCTTTGCCTTTGGGAGATTCTCCAGTTGTCGTTTTGTGAGAGACAGTATTTTCGTTCTCCATTTTGGTCATATTGTAACAAAAGCAACGTGGAGTGATATAGTAAGTGGTAGTGTTGTAGAGAAAGCTGCAGTTTAGTTTGTTCTCTGAAGGACTAACGGCTCGTTGTGTGTTGCAGGAAAGGTGCTGAGGCTTTTATGTGTCTCGAGTTGGTTGTGTGCCCACTTTCCTGCTTGGTTTGGAGACGCGCTTATGGCCCGCTTGGCGACTGTCTAGATAATCTTGAACTTTCTAGTTTTCATTTTCTCTTTCTTCTTCTATGAATATATGTGTATAAAATATGTATGTATATACACAATCCTAGAATATATAATCATTTTGACTTTTCTGCTCCTTTAATCACTATCTCCCTTTTTCCTCTCCTTGTGCTCTCATTCTTTCTCACTATCATTATCTGCAGGGCTTGTTATCTATGTTTTCCGCATGTTAAAAGTTATGAAACTATTCGCGCGTGTGGTTATATATGTATATTTATACACACACACGCACATTTATATGTGTGAGTGTGTGTATGTGTGTAAAGCTCATGTGTATTATGAAAATTGAATAATCAACAATTAATCATATATATCTGAAGATATATATGACAGCCATTAGAGACATATTGAATTCCTAATAAATTCTAATGATTTCATTTCAGAGTGTACACGTACGTACGTATAAACACAAGACACTGTTGAGATGAAGTTTTCATTGCCTACTTATGATGGCCCGACCTTATCCCACCGACTTAAAAGATAAATCTCTATGGTCATTATTTATATAGACATAAGAACACATACGCGCACTAACTCACACACACACGCACGCACACATAAGTACACTCATATATATATATATATATATATATATATATATATATATATATATATATATATATATATATATATATATATATATTCAATATAATAAAGCACACACATAGGTACACACAAATACAAAATGCGCATTTTTGACGAGAAACGCGAGCAAGCCATGGTTTGGTTTGGTTTGCTTCGCCTTGCCGAATTCGTCAAAAAAAACAGACCCAGCTTCCCAGCTTGCTATCAATATAAACAACGACCGTAATACGAGATATGAGTGACAGAATCATTCGCAGAAGAAACAGAGTGGTCTCTGTTAGTAATGTTAGTGAAATTACCGACGAAGAAATCTTTTCATGTCGTGCTTTTGCATTAAATGAAGAAGATGAACGAAATAAATTTCAAAATATCATCTACATATTGTTTCGCACAAAAGTATGAAAAAAAGAAAAAAAGTCTAAAAGGTTATCATCTACTACTCATAACAAAGATGGGTCTTCCAAACTGCGAGTTTAGAATGGATATAACATGGGTAAATAAAAGCGCACTTCGAACATCCCAGGATAGGTATAATGCAGTTATAAATAGCTAGTACTTTTCTTCTTGAGAATAATAAAGCTATCAATATACTTCATTTAATACTTCTGGTAGATAAAAAAAATTACTTGTATATAATAACATCTATTGCGACAAAATAAGTAAATTATCACGAGAAATTCATCGTTATCATTCATTTCTGTCGGCCATGTTGCGGTTATGACGTCCTGAAAGTGGAGCAAACTTCCTCTGAGGAAGTTAGAAAAGAGCTTGGTTTAGTTACGAAACCAGACCAAGATATCTGACCAAGAAGGAAGTTTCAAGACTTTTCAAGAAATCTTGAATTATCTTGCGGTCAAAAATGCGCCTCTACATACATAAACATACTTTGTGTGTATGGTTGAGGACAATGCAAGTATACAAATATTTATATGTACAACGCTCGCGCGCACAAACACACATACACATGCATATATATAGAGAGACGGAAAGATAGAAAGACATACCATAGGTATGAATTTGAATTTGAATTTGCACATTTGTATTTCAAGTACTTCCTACCTAGGTAACCATTTGTTATCAAAACAGTTTTGCGGAAACGGAAGGCAAGTAAAGTCATACATGTAAAGAAATACAATTTATTTACAAAAGAGCAAAAGCATTATCCAAAAACAGCAATAAATAGCTCCTTAAGCATACATTGTCTTTAAGATTAAATGATAGTTTCAGTTAATGAAATAAGTCTTCCTATGCTGCCTGTGGAACCTTCGGAGCCGTGACAGTCAACAAGCCATCGGAAGACATTGCGGAAGTCACGGCCTCCATGTCCACTTTGCCTGGGAAGTTGAAACGTCGACAGAAGCTTTTCATGGACTTGAAATCGCCCTCTTCCTTTTCCACTCGACCTTCCACCACCACCTGCTTCTCCACTCTTTCCATCCAGACCATCCACCCACTCCTCCATGAACACTCTTGAAGTCATGAACATCTAGTACAACCTGTTTATAGAATCGAGTAGTGTTTATTTAGTTTTTGTCTTCCATTTTTATATTACTGAATATTCAAATACTCTGTTTGCTTGACGTATATCGTTTTATTAAAGCTAATTTTCAATTTGAATATTTTTTTAAAACAAACTTCTATTTATGTAAATAAATGTTTAAATCAGTGTGTTTGCGATCCACGTAAATTTTAGATTGTAGAACTAACCTTATGATTGTGGTCGTCTTCGCTGAAGGCCATGACTTGGTTCTCCTGCTGCAAATTGCGATCTCTTACACGTCTGTAGCTACTCATCAGATCACTCACGGATTTGGCTTCTCCCCAAGTGTCCAGGATTTGGTCGATGGCTGTCTCAAAGTGCTTCCGAATATCCTCGAAGAAGGAATCGTGGAAGAAAAGTCCCTTCTCAGCGATTGGGAGAAGTGAATCCTCTTTGCATTCGGGAACTTCTGGTTTCTGTTCAGCAAGGGCGTTAGTATTTTTGCTTTCCATATTTCTCTATCGTATATTGCTTCAGGAAGATTAGCTACGTCTCGTGATGTAGATAAAGCAAGAGCTTCCTTTCTTTCTCAAAGAGCGTTATTTCTTGTGTCTAGCGAGAGGCGGCTGCTGAGGCTTTTATGTGGCGCGAGTTGGTGTGTGCGCCCACTTTCCACCTCCATCTGGACGGAGATCATGGCATGCTTGGCAACATGAGTCGAAATCTCGTGAAACTTCTAGTTCTCAACTTAAAGATGAATGGTACGATACAATTATGCAACAAATGCTCTATTACTATTTATTTATTTGCTTCATTACTGGTATATTTCATTATCTATAAGGGCATCTTTTACATTTAAAACAACACAACAAATGTATACATAATATAACACACACACACACACACACACACACACACACACACATATATATATATATATATATATTTCTAAATATACACAAATTTTTTTCCTGTGTATAAGGACATATATATACTACGTATATGTACAAATACACAGATAGAGTGATACATATATATATATATATATATATATATATATATACCCATATAATACATATATATATATATATATATATATATATATATATATATATATATATATATATATATATATATACATATATACATTATATATATAACTGCTTTAAGGGATATATATATATATATATATATATATATATATATATATATATATATATATATATATATATATATATATATGTATGTATATGTATATATATATGATACATATATATGGATATATATTTGTATATGTATATACACACAGAAACACACATGCTTGATATATTCATATTGATGTATGTATTATTATGAACTTGTATTATATATATCTATATATATATATATATATATATATATATATATATATATATACATATATATGTATATATATAATTATAAGCTTACGCATACATGTATGTTAATGTTATATGTATATATATATATATATATATATATATATATATACATACATAACAGACAATGCCCAATGTGTACACAAACACACAAACAGACATACACATATATGTGTGTGTTTATCTGTTTGTCAAATGTATTAATGGAAATATATACATTTTAATTCATTTGTTGTTGTTAGATTCGCTAGCTATTTCATTGAAAAATAATTATGAGAGCACAGGTCATAGCAATCGGAAGTGAACCCTTCTTTCGAAGAGCCATCTATTATGAAAACTATGTTGCAATAAACAATAAATTGTTTTAATAAGTTGGCATA